GGGGGGGGGGGTCGTGAAAACAAGACCAAACAAAATTGCCTGTCCAGGGAGTTTACGTAGATGTTCAAAGGGGACCGGTAGTTGAGAAGATGAACTCAGCTTTTCACTTGTTACTTGTTTCATGGATGGATTGGTATAGGCGCACTTACAAACGACCTCTAGATCCTATCGGAACCCTTGGTAGAATCGAGATTTCCACCAAGCACAGCTTCCATCCTGTTTTAGTTGTCCGTTTGTCTGATCTCTACTGGAATCACTTCACTCGACTTGGTTTGACTGTAGCTAGGTGTGGCTTTCCTTTTTTCCCCGCTTTTTTTTCCCTATAGGAGAGTTTCGAAGCAACCTCAGAGGCTCTCAGATTATGAATCTGGACGTGAAGTGATTTTTTGAAAGAATATTTTGGGAATTTTGTGTTATCGATATAAACTTTACTGTACCTTATTTAAATAACCCTAGATTATGATAATAAGAAAAGCGGTTGTAACTCACTTTGTCGTTATCTGGTTTTTTCACGTAACCCGGCGGTGGTGTGGCGAGCGTGGCCGTCGCCCAGAATATAAGTAGTAACTAAAAACATAAAGAGGCAAAGTAATATCAGTAAAATGTGAAAAATAAAAAGAAATTAGAAAATTAGTATCATCCGGAAGCAGTGAGCTTATCTTTCATAAGCAGACTTGGAAAATCTGTTTAATATGAATTTTCAGGTTGGACTCATACCCATAAACAGCTTATATCTTAATTCCACCATAACCGCATCTAATTGTAAGTCCCTAGAGGAAATCCCCAGACCCACCGTGTATATATTCTTGTACCGTGCGATATCCACGGATTTATATCTACAGATATAATACACGCGTATCACCGAAGCACATTCCCCTAGCAAGAAAGTGACTCTAAGAAAGTTGCATCGTAACTCTTTTACGAAACTGTCCTAGTCATTTTTCTAGGTTCCTCGAACTCGGCTAGACGTCCCAACAACTTCATCCATACGACGAAAGTCGTCCCGCATCGGAAAAAGGAAGGTGGTTGGTAATCCTGGGTCTTGTTTTTAAGGGGTGAGAAAGTTACTAGCTAGTGGAAATGGTCAAACGCGATTACTCGTCACGCGAACACGTAGGCTGTCACGCCTGGTTCCTTCAGAGTTGCTGTTAAGGGTGTTGGACGCAAACGACTGGTTATGCACTAGTTCCTTTATTTTTGCCCGTGGTCTTTGTTGTCACTAGATAAGAACACGACAGTTATGGAGTATCGCGTAATCTGATGTTGCGTTGAGAACGAGTCCCACAGATGCATTTGCATTTTCGACAATGTACTTAAAAACAGGTCAATCTTAACTTTTTAAGAGTGGTAAAATGCACGAAAATTCGAAAAATCCAAATTAAATTATAATTATGGTGACTTTGGTTTTAGTAACGTTTGCAAAATTTACGTTTAATGTATTAAATGAAAATTATGCGCTTACACTATGTCAAGAATGTTATCATTGGGTCTTTATTAAGAAGTTTCAAGTCTCCTAGTCGGAATCTGGTTACACGAAGTACTATCAAGTATCCGTAAGTACCCAGCAGTATGTACTATGAATTACTCTGAGGTACTACTGGAGTCATAAGGTCGTGCAATGTACCAAGAAGATCATATTTATTAGGCAGATAAAGGCACACAACCGGCAAATGTACAAGTAAGCATAAGGAGCGAAGTTAAAAGCGGCAAGTAGAGAGTTGCCTATATAACTCAGACATCTAATTAGACACTCTTGTCTGAAAGTGGGTAAAAACTATTCCAGTGGTATTTTCAGACGTCGAGTAGTTTATTTTCTTTTCATGATTTCTAGCGACAGCAAAATTTTACTGGAATTCGAACGAATATGAAAGTTCAGATTCATAATAAACGAAAGTTTTCAATACTCGACGCCCGCTGAAAAGTACATATCAAGACTGTACTGCACCTCGAAATAATTTTATATCAGATTGTACTGTACGAAAATCCGAAATCTTGTATCCCGTACAATTGTACAAGATGTTCATCATCCCCAAGATTCTTGTTCTGGATTAGAATCGAATCCCAAAAAGGAGCATCAAAGGGGAAGACAAAACAGGGGCAGAACGCACGGAGGAAATAGAGATTCTAGGGAATTTGGTTGGTACATCTCGATTTGCATAGGGATTTCCGTCACCCCTGAAAAGCATCCCTTAAACCACTTCCCCCTCTTACCCATTCGCAAAGAACGCTTCCAGCCTCCTGCTCATCCCATAGCCAGCAATAATCCCGCGGTGGCTTTGCTTTGTGGCTTCGGACACGTACACCCGGTATATATTAGGGCGCCTCAACCCTCGCGGACGAAACACGATCCGCGCTTATGGAAATTTCCTAGGGAATATTCTCCTAGTAGCGAAACGTGTCCTTGCCGAAATTTTACCAGAAAAGTCCGTACCCCCCATTTCCCCCTTTCTTCCACCCATCTATTCCTCAGAGTTCTATGAGAAATTCTCGCAGTCTCGTAAGTCCATGTTGTGGAAGCGACCCCCTCCCCCTAACCTCTGCTCTATTCAAATTCGAAAAAGATACTTTTCGAAGCGACGAAGATGACGGTGACGTCGCGACGTTTAAGAGAATAACGTGATCATTCATAGGTTTAGATATACCCGGCACGCGACCCCCATTAATAATGCACCTTGTATTCCCTGGCCGTGGCATTATTTTGATGTCCACCCTTGTGAAGGAATTCGACCTAAGCAAAGTGACCTTAATTTTATAAGTAAATCTTAGGACGCTTTAAAAACGCATGAAAGTTTTCTTCATGCTAATTCATTGAGTGTGCCTAATGATTTTTCTATGGGGAAGGGGATGGTACCCTTGAAACGAAACTTTCCAAATGTAATTTTAATAAACCCACAGGGGTGCTAGGCCAGACACGTACTAAATTAAAAATATGAAGTATTTGTTTTAGGTCATCGACATTTTCATTTTCAACTTTAATTTTATACCCAGACCTAGCATGTTCTAGAACCACCCCTGTCTGATCATTTTGTCTAGATCGAATCTAATGTCTGAGTCGTCTGGAAGGGGTTGAAATCGATCCCACAAATTGGTCTGCTGGTAATACCGATTTTCTCGACCTACACTGAACCCAGAAATGGATTGTCGCGAAAAGTATAAATGAAAAGAAAAAGGTCAAACACCAGTATCCTAGGTAGGAATGAAATTCCAAAGAGAGCTGTCTGACCATCGAAATCTTCTAGAGCCACGAAAAACGATCCTACCACTATAATCAATCTCAGTTTATTTCGTGGTGTCAGGTCTTTTTAGCAATGGCGACATCGCCCCCAAACCCCAAATCACCCCTCGCCCCTACCAACCAAGTTGGGGTTACATTTCATTTATCCTGTAATAGATTACTCTCTATGGGTACAAATCGATACGGGGGTTTGCGTGATTGCTCACGTGTCTGGAGATTTTTTTTTTAAAGATAAATCACTATACAATACAAGCTCTTTACAATAATTTCAACACCACCGTTATAGCCTTGTTAAGAAATATATTCCGTGAAGAAAAATTATATCGGGTCAACTTTTATTTCCCCACTTTTACAATTATTTCTTCTTTTTTTTTATTTCACTAAATCGATAAACCTCTTTATCTTATATCCTTCTACAGGGTATCTCAAAGGTCGTTTGACCTTTTCATGATTACGGATCGATCTGCTGGTTTTCGTCTTAAATATTGTTTAATATTCTTAAGTCAGTCATAACCTATAAAGTTACGTACTATTGTAATGGTTTCAGTTTACAATTCTCGGAATTTGCTATCACTACGGGGTATACAGGTCGTTTCATTTTTATTGAGAAAGACGCTGACGCATCGCCAAGCCAAGGAGAGTTCTCGAGTCACAATGAAAGTTAAATCAATTCGCGCACACGCCCGGAGAAAAGTGCTTTTACTTTGCCACTCCTGCGTTCACTGGTTTCCGCGATCCTTGTAAATCGCACATATAGGCTGAGAGAAAAATAAGAAATCGATTTGGTACAAGCAAGTGAATTAATAATAATACCAATATATCACTTATTAATCATGATGTAAAATTTCAATTCCAATTTAAATACTTTCCCGCCAAGTCGATGAATATTCCGATCAATAATAATTTAGAGGATGTAACAAAGATCTTAATTACAGGTAAAAATACTCTATAACGCATTCTGTACTTTATTAATATTTTTTTAATCTTTTTATAAAAAAAAAACAATTTTCAAAACTAGTCTTTCCCTCCATTTTTTATTTCATTCCTCTCTAATCTGTCATCCTCTTAAATTCCTTCATTTACAGACTTAGACTCGTGCGTTACCTTGAATCCCCTTTGTTCTTGTCTCGATACCTGTTAATACGATATTCTAACTTTCCTCAAGTATCAAAACTTGCCAGCAAATATGTTTTCTACTGTTAAGAGGGGTTAAAACATACCAATACACTGTTCTACTGTACAATATAGAGAATAATATTTAAAAAATTATAGGTAACGTAAATACCATAGTTACCGACGTAATTTCCTCGAGATTTTCGTGACTATTTTCATCACGATAATATCGTACAAATATTACCTGCAGTTATATTAAAATTGTTCATTAAAATTATATCTGAAATTTTCTCTTGTGATCCTATACTTATTACCCAATCTGTACTTAGCATACGCAGGGTGTTCAAGTACAATCGCAGGTGTTTTTTATTTTTCGATTTAAAAAATCTAAACTTTTCACTCACATCCGATCTCAATAGAACATCCTGTATATGTAATCTCATTCTCAAGAAGATGACTGGATATTACGAATATTGGCTGTAAGAGGTTGTAATAGTTTTATACGAACACTCGCTTCGTTGAAGCTGTTAAAACTTTAATAATGCACGTTAAATTTACTCTTCTCACTATAACCATTCGTATAGTAATAAAAAGTAATGGATATCCTTACCGATCGTAATATTTCGATTTACAGGACGATTATTTTTCCACGTATTTATTACTGCAGACATAACCTAACCCATCTGCAGTTGAAATTTTTATTTACGTAGTTACAGCATAAAATAATTTATAACAATCAATTACCTTGAATATTCCAAATTTAATGTTTAAATTCCCTTGCACCCGTATATACAGTATTCAAAATTTAATTGTTACGTCAAAAAATGTATAATATTAATATAATTTTACAGAAAACAATGTATTATCCTATATATTAATGAACCGCAATAGCAATAACTGTAAACGTATCGCACTACTAGTATTAACAGTGGTACAGTCAGTTCCAAGGATTCAGGGTCACGGGCTACAAGACATTCACCTTCGCTAGCACATACACGCCTTGATGTGAATGTGCAAATGCATTGGTGCAGCATACGTTTCTGGCACAAAATAGAATCAATTAAAAAGAAATATTCAAATGAGGAGGCTGAAGTGTAAAAATGTAGGACCAATGAAAATGAAAAAAAAAGATGTATTAAAAATTCGAAACTCAATGCCACTTTCACAGGTGGTCATCTCGAGTGAAAGATATGACCGAGAAAGAGATTCAAGCAGCACGAGAGGCAGAGGTCAAAATGAAAAGACATTAACGTGGTAAATAGCCGAAATCACGTGTCGATGAGAGAAATTATTGGAAAGGTAATCGATTTCATGGATTCGCGAGATCATTGTCTCAATACGTTATATATATACATATTATTGGGTCAGTGTGTCAGTGGACCGGAAACAACCCGGTACTCCTGTATTTTTCTGGATGAAATATGAATTGTTACTTCCGGTAACTTTGTACCTTTTTTTTATATTTTTAGTCGTTTTGTCCTTCCCGTCGTTCATAGCCAGTATTACCAGTGAAAATTGTAACGCGGGAAAACGGTAATAATGAGAGACACGGCCACTTTGAATCGTCTTCGGCTAGACAGTCGAGTGTGAGAATTTTTCGTGAATATGTTTTTCTTTTAATTTTCTCCTTTATATAAACTCTATATCTTCAACAGAGATGACACACTTCACTTTAAAGCAAATAGAGTCATTAAAGACGAAGAAGGTCAGTTGCTCATATTCCATAATGAAGAAAAATTCAGTCTCTAATTTGCCCCGGTATAAAATTACGAACAGAAATATAAGTAAGATTAAAAGCAGTCAAACTCTTGGTTGGAGGACAATCATGATCTGGCACAAAAAATAAAAAAAAGGTCCTAAATTAAAAAAATTAATATCAATCACAGGTTATTAACAGACTATTTGCATGAAGAAACGACGATTAATCAGATATACAATTTAATTAACATCAACTCACCGAGTGCAGCAACATATCTCCACTATAAATACATGAACGCGCATGCGCCCGAGCTCACACCGCGTACTTCAATAGGGACTTTAACTCTTTCGTTACTCAGGAGAAAATATAATCCGATAAGTATTGTCCAAATCCAGAATAAAATCGCTCCACTTCCGGTAGCTTCTTTGAAAAGTACATAAAAGACACCTCAGGTCCGTCCAAATACCTGCACCCACCTCTACCTGAGTGAAAACCAAGAAATAGGAAAATTGATTCAACGATCAAAAACGGGAACCGATCGAATACACGTCTCTACGCACTCGCAGGAGTAGTCGGGTGTCAACTGGTACTCCGTGAAGTCGATCCACTTGACTTAACAGAGAAGCGAAGCTCCAGTTTATCCCACCACTGCCGGATGAGAGAGATATCTATATAGGTACCCTACCCACTAAGGTATCTACGTGAGAGTGCCAAAGGAAGAGGTCTTCGAAGTGCCGTAGCGCCGAGAAGTAGCTGTGGCGGATCGTCAAAGTGCCCCCGCTCAGTCTCCTTTATCACCTCCACAAAGTGTTTCAAAGTATCAACGAAGAAGAGTCGCCGTCTGTCTTTTAGGAGGCCTTACCACTTCTGCCTCTCATCACGACCTTGTGATCCTTTTCAACCTGCCGGGTTCGATAGCCAATGTCTGATATGTGACTTTCTGCGCAAGGTCTAGTCTTACCCACTTAGGTCTAGACTTGGTCTCAGGTTGCCTAATTTAGTATAGACTTTATTACCTGCTCTAGGTATAGATATAGAATCTATATGCATAGATGAAGTCCTGGGTCCTGATCTTGCTTGCAGAAGCATTGAGGGTTAAGATACGATCATCTCTGCGATGATCATGACGTTGGAGAACTTCGTAAACCTGCTCCAGGTCGAAGGAGATTGGAGAAAGTGACGAGTTCAGCGACGACAGGTATACTTTTCTTTTTTTTTTTTTCTTTTTATCACAGTCTGGGTTTAGGGAGTTACGGTTTTATCTGTGTGGCGGATCTAGTGACTTTTTCGAAATTGCTTATTGTCAAAGTGTATTGACTTAGTGACTTTGCGAAACGTTACTCGGAACTGGGTATGCTTCTAGATGAAATTGTTCTCGATCTTCAAATCGGTGGAGAAAGGTTGGCTTGGGGCAGCGAAAATGTTTCGTGCGCTTATGAGACGTTTAAAAGATAATAATGACTAACATGAAGTCACGTGGCTGATTGGAATGTCGAATATCCCGTCGAAACGGTTTGACCTGCTAAAAGATAGAATACGATGATGGAAAAAGAAAGGACAATAATTAAAGAAGAACACGTTAAACCGGTATGCACATTCCATGTTGAAGTTTTACCGATGTGTAACGAGGGCGAAAGTGGGCACTAGTCTGCAACCTCAGGAATACGCCTGAAATGATTTTCAGAGAATTTCATTTTATGTGAGAGACAATCGGTAAATACCGATCTATTATAATTCAGTACCAATTATAACCCGCGTGACGTAGCTACTTTGTTGGAAATAATTGAAGTTACGTTACTCTCGATAAAAACTGTGATCAAGAAAATAATAGATAGTTTGTTTGGGGGCGAGAGGTGGTCTGGTTACTTACGTGGTTTATCTACTGTTAATGTTGTTCATAATTGGCAACGACGTATGAATTCTCTCCCTGATCTTTATCTTCGTCCCTTTCGTCCCAATGGTCCTTTTAATTGAATGAGCGCAGATTCAAGTTTTGAATTCACAACCCGAACTGTTCCAGACAGGTAGTAAACTTATTATATAAATTCAGCACGTGGCGCAAATAACGTATAGTACAGACAACTTGCGGTTGCGAAACTTATATAATGCAAGATTGTAAGATTTCTAAGAAATATAATTGCATTGTCACGAGACAAAGTTAGCAGAGTCAAATTTGTTATAAGAAAAAGAAAAAAAATGATTTATCTCCTGTTTATAAAATCCGAAATGACTGAGGTCTGAAAATTCGCTTTTTAAAAATTCTTTTCTTGGACGTACCTATTTTTCTCAAATTTATTCGACTTGTCAAATTTTGATAAACGTAGGCACTTTCAATGAATTCAAATTACTTTCACGTATCGATAAAAGTTTTTCTTAGTCCCGATCTATGACGGAATCGATATCGATTGACTTGTGATGTAGTGTTAAGAAAAAAAGAAAGTTATGAAAGCACGAAATGGAAAAAGGAAATAAAAGTAAAAAAAGGAAATCGAACCACATGTTCCCCTTAATCGGGATCGGTAACTGTGCATGTGTGTGGTGTTTGGGTGTCACTTCTATATGGTTACCACTATTTTTCCCCACCAGTTGGCGAGTTTCTTGCCACGAGGAAAGTGACCAGGGAATTTATCCCGAGGCGGTACAGGTTATGCGTGATGAGGATGCTGGAGGTAGCAGCGAGAATGGCTGGTCAGTGAACAGTGCTATGGTAGCAATGCCAGGTACCTGCAGGAGGATCTAAATATCGTTTGGTTTGGTGAGATACAAAGGTTTACCTACTGCGAGAGAATAGATAACAGATACGAGGATAAGGAATGAGATAAAAGTGAGGAAAAAACATTTACTCCTGAATGAAAAAGGAAGACTGATAAAAAATAGCAACGTGAAATTTACTTGTTAAAGAAGCGTGTGCTTGAAGATTTAATGGGAATCGAATGTGTAAGATCGTAATACGTGGGGAAAGTATAACAACGGAAGCAGGTTGAGATGCCCTCAGGATATGGACCATTGGTGGAGATTTTGTCTGGCTTGTTTTTTATTAGTTGTACGGTGAATTCTATTTTTTTTAAATGCTATCGATAGACTTGGAAATGAAAAATGATAATTTTATGCAAAGCAGATATTCTTGAGTGGTATAACAAAATTTGGAATATCTTCGAATTGACGTGAAAAAAAAAGAAAATAATAATTAGAATAGTTATATTTTTCCTTCTTTTTATAATTAAGTCAATTTCGTTTCTCTTCTTCGATTTAACTAACAATAAGTTGCGCAAAAATAGTTGCGCGCGAAAGATTTCATAAAGGAGGTACGTTAATGAGATCGAAAAGAAAAGAAAGGACGATGAGGTGGAGAAATGGCAGCCATGAAAAAAGAAAGAACAAAGGAAAGTACGGTTAAGAACGTTGAGCACAAAAAGAGAAAGAAGACGTCGAAACAAAAGATGAAATAAACAAAGAGGCATGAAATTTTCGTTTTTATTTATTTTTTTAATATCTTATTTCATTGAAATGTCAAATTCGGTTATTCCCCGTGCCCCCCCCCCCCTCCC